TATTTCTATTAAGTGTATTTTGCCATGTTTCATTTTTTTGTTGCTATTGTGATTGTGATTTAACCATGATTGGGATTTTGTAGAAAGAAAAAAGATTGCTAAGAATTCTATCTGAAGACATTTTGCTGTTGTGGTGCCTCAACTTCATCACGATCGTATCTTCTCTATAAATCACACTTCCATCATTTAATGTATCCCTATTTATTTCACTTGCACTCCACCTTTTCAAAGAATAACAATATCAAAAGGCCAGTGTTTTTAGGTTACATGAATGACATAAGTCTATGAAGCTACTTTTTTCCAACACCGTGAGTCATCCTGTGCTTCATGTAGTGCTGAGAGAAAAGGACCCAGACTAAGTGGAAAAGGAGAGAAAGGAAACAAAAACACGTCTTCATGGGTTAACAAGGAATACATTTTATGAACAATAAAGGATTAACAATATATATGTTTTGTGAATGATACTGTTGTACTTTTACCTTTTAAAATGCCTTTCTGTGCTTAACTAAATCAGTGTTTCCTGAGCCCATGGCCAGCACAGGAATCCACACGACATTTCATGATGAGAGATAAGCTTTGGGGCACTCTGAGGTCTACGCAATAAGGGGATGAGAGACTAGGGAAGTGGGGAAGACCATATAGTTCATTTGAGTCTGAATTTGGGTTTTTCAGCTAACAAGTCAATTTATTGAAAAAAGTGGATTAATTTTTGGAAAGAGAATGCCACATCTTTTCTCACAAATTAGGAGTTTCTATTATGTTTCCACATATATTCTACCTTAGATGATATTTCTGTGTTCTCCCTGCTTACTTTTTATTTGCTTTTGCTTGCTAGCTCTTGTCTCCCCGCCTCCACGCCCTTTTATTTTAACTTTTTGTTTGTGTTTTAGATCTATCTCTTATATGTGCCATATAATTGGATTTTCAACCAATTTTAGAGTTTTTGACTTTTAATAGAGAAAGTCAACCCATTTATGTATCAGGTTTTTTAATGTTTATGGTTATTATGCTTTCTTGTTTCCTTTTGTTAATGATAGGTTTAGGCTATAATAAAGAATACAGTGTTTATGGGAGCAAAAGAGGGATTGCAATCCATGGCACTGATTCAGGTACCAACATAAAGGGAACAAGGGAAGGCAGGGTTTGTAAAGGGCAGAACTAGCAGAGTTGCTCTCATTAAAGCCTTTGAGTAGATGAAGAGTGTTGGCGAGGTCAGTGGCATTGTCAGGCTGATCATATCAATGGCTGGGTTCCTTTCAAGGTGAAGCATGCATCCAGGATGTTTGTTGTTCGCCCTTCATCTGAGTGCAGCAACAGGTCAGCAACTTAACAGTAGTTCCAAGATTTGTCCATGAGCTGTGTATAGGCCTCCAAAATCGTTTTAAGTGACAATCTTAGCAATGCTAATTTCATTTTATTTTCTTCACATCACCTTCTCCTTTCTTTACATTTGTTGAACTGATGACTTTTCTTGGCTCCTTCTTACCTTCCATAAAGTGGAAATATAATCCTATACTAATAAAAGACAAACATACAAACTGACTGTACTTTTACTACACCTTAAGCCACGCCCACCAGCCAGTCAGAGCGACTATATGCAAATTAACCCAACCAAGATGGCGGCCGGCAGCCACAGAGCTGGAGTGAACAGGAGGCTTGCTTGCTCCAGTGATGGAGGAAGCCAAGGTTCCCCGCCTGCCGTGGCCCGGCTCTGAGCTCCACTGAAAGCAACAAAGTTTCAATTATAGATGGTAAACAAACCCCAGATACCTGCTTTCAGCCAGCCGTGGCCACGGAGCTGGAGCGAGCAGGACTGGGTTGCCCCTGGCAATGGAGGAAGCCAAGCTTTCCACAGGCCTCCGCTAAAGGCAACAAAGTTTCAATTATAGAAGGTAAATAAATCCCAGAATAAAAAAGAAAAAAAAGGAGAGGCTGGGAGCTTACGTTGCCAGGGTGCTTGGCCAGCCTGAAAAGGGCCCTCAGCCCCGCACCCAGACTGGCCAGGCACCCCAGTGGGGACCCCCCACCCTAAAGGGGGTGTGGCCAGCCTGAAAACAGCCATCAGCCCCTCACGCAGGCTGGCCAAACCTCCATGGGGTGAGGGTTCCCACTGGGGTGGACATCCTCCGAGGGGTCCCACACTGCAAGAGGGCATAGGCTGGGCTGAGGGACCCCCTGAGTGCACAAATTTTTGTGCACCGGGCCTCTAGTGTATTTATATCCTAGTAGCTACCTTTGCCTGATAATATTTGTGAGTGATTTTTAACATTTTTTTTGTTATTTTGATATATTGTTTAAATAAATATTAGGAGAAAATAATGAGATAGGAAGAAAGATAATGAACTTTGTGCCTCAGTGCTGACACGTTTTCTGGATGAATTTTTGGAGAGTTCGTTTTAGGTCTGTGAAGTATGCCATTGGTATTTTAATGGGAAGTGCGTTGAATTTATAGATTGCTTTGGGTAGTATGGACATTTTAATGATGTTGATTCTACCAATCCATGAACACGGTATGTTCTTCCATCTGTTTATGTCTTCCTCTATCTCTTTTTTCAAAGTCCTGTAGTTTTCTGAGTAGAGGTCTTTTACCTCTTTAGTTAAGTTTGTGACACTTTTTCTGGAGTTCATAGCAAATAGAATGGCAAATACAGAAATTTCTTGGAATTGGTTTCATCCTATCTCTGGTCTCTTTAGTCCTTTCTCCTCACTAAATTTATCCCTTTTGTCTATTTACATATTACATTCTCTGTCCTTAAATGAAAACCTTTTCTATTTCTTTATTTACATTACCTATTCCTTACTTTCTATATAGTCCTATTACTCTTCTTTTCCACAAAAAGTTTAAAGTAACTTCACCTGGTTGCTTCTGATTTCTTATCTTCCATTTATTCTTTAGTCTACTGCAAGGTGACTCCTGCCTTCACCATTCTGCTGGAATTACCTAATTTTCAAATCAGCAGCTCCCCTTTCAATCATCATTCTGTTTGACCCACTCCAGCTTCTGAGAGTGTTGACCACTCCCTTCTTCTTGAAACTCTCGTTCCCCAACTGTCAATCCTGAGTCTCCATCCATCTTCCTTTCTGTCTTGCTCTCTCTTGTCTCCTGGGGTTGCTAGTGTTCTTTTCTTGGCTTTCTTCTCATCTCACAACACTGGGAGTTGGGTAGCCTTGGTTTTAAGTCCAGCTATGTGATCTTGGAGAGGTTATTTAACCTTTTGATCAGATTCCTCATCTATAAAATGATGATTCAGTTAGTGTTTCCTCCTTGTATTAGTCAAGATTCTCCAGAGAAACGGAACCAAAAAGATATATGTGAATATGTAGAAAGAGATATGGGGAGTTGGCTCATGCAGTGATGGAAGCTGAGCTGTTCCCATGAGCTGCCATCTTCAGATTCAGGAAAGCCAGTACTGTAGTTCCACTCCAAACCTGGAAGCCGGAGGCCTGGGGACCAATGGTAAGTCCTGGTTCGAGCCTGAAGTTTCACAAACTAGGAACACTGATGTCTGAGGCAGGAGAAGATAGCTCTCTCCACTCAAGCAAAGAGCAAATTCACCCTTCCCTGCCTTTTTGTTCTATTCCAGCTCTCAGCAGACTGGATGATGCCCACCCTCATTGGTGAGGGCTGATCTTTACTCAGTCTACCCATTCAAATTCGAGCTCCCTCATAGAAACACTACAGATACTACTTTACCAGCTATCTGGGCATGCCTTAGCCTCATCAAGTTGACATAAAATTAACCACCACACTTAGTAAACAGATACTGAATGCTTACAGTGCTTTATTTCCTAGTCTTAAGGGCTACAGAAAAGGCAGAAATAGACTTACACATCTGAAATGCCAATCAGGTCAAGCTGGATGTTTTATTGGTTCTCACTCACAGTTTAGATTTGTCCCGTTTATACTTGCTTTTCTCCCAGTAATGGATTTCCACCTGTATTGAAAGGCCTGTAATTCCATGTGCTGCCTTGGCAACTTTGAGCCTCACAGAGCTGCACAGACCTACCATGAGTTCCCCTTGCCCAATATGCCCCATCCAGCTGGAAAGACTCCCTACCCAGCTAATTCCCTTGTTAGCCCCATCAGTTACACCCTTCCCAGGTCTCAATCTAATGGGTTTCACCTCCCTACCATCCACGGAATTGTTCAAATAAACAAAAGATCACCTCACCAGCTTGTCATTGCACAGTCTGCCTCTCACAGCTCCTGTTGGTTCGCAGTTCCTGAGAGCAACTGCATGGCTTGTGTGTCCTCCTCCCCCAGGTCGTGAGGAGTCTCCTCTGCCCAGGGCCAGGTATGGTGTGTTGGGTCATCTTGTGCTATTTGAGGTGGGAATCCCTCCTTCACCAGTGGTGTGGATAGGAGGTGATCAGAACAGTGATAATCCAGAGTAGACTTCATTACTGTCCCCATTGCTCCCTTGTGCCTCTGCTCCTTGTCCTTATATGCCAGAGCACTTTGTTTTATGTTTATTTCTGATTATCTATATATATAAAAGCCAAGCAACCAGAACTCCTGAACGATCGGAATGACCAGAACAACTGGTCACTATGATGCACACTGTGGCCGGCTAACCGGCCCAATCGGGGGGGAGGGAGGCAGCCCCTCCCTCCAGCTGCCCCCGGCCGGATCAGGGGCGGGGCTGGCCAGCCAACTTTCTGTGTCCCCTCACCCCCCCGGCCTGGCCCGATTGGCCCCCATTGGGGCGGGCTGTCCGGACCCCACCTGTGCATGATTTCTTGCACTGGGCCTCTAGTGTCAATAATGTTGTAGATGCTTTGTTTTGGGAATGACACATTTTTCTCACAGAGGTCTCTTTATCCTGTCCCTTCTAAGGCTCCTTGTTTTTCCACTTCCCTCAGAGGGTTTTATTGGCGTAATCTTTGTCGAGCAGGAATTTATAGTTTCAGGAATCAGTGACACTCTAGGATGTGTCTGGATTTCACGTGGGAAGAATGGATTCATCTAGATTCTACTCCAAGGAAGTTGTGTGGGAACATGATGCTAGAGAACTACAGGAACTTGGTCTCACTGGGTAAGGACTTCCCCTTGTAACTCACCTTTCCTCACCTATTGACATCTTGTACAACCTCTGGAATTCATGAATTTGGACATGAAATCCTGGATATTTTATGGCATTGTTTTAGGGTAATTGCATGGTGTCCTTTCTTTCCACGTGAAAGGTCTCTTCTGTAGAGAATTGGAAAATGGGAAACTAAAGAAGCCCTGTGTCCCTTTAAGAAGCCCTGAAGGGGAAGGGAAAAGACTTGTGCTGGAAGTAGCTTTTATACTGAGTATAGTACACAAGTTTAATGTCTTTCCTCTGAGCAGGGAATCAGCTTTCCGAACCAAATGTGACTTCTTAGCTGAAACGAGAAGGACTGAGCTTGATGCCAAAAGAACTTCCAGGGTATATCTCTGCAGGTAAAGTGTCAGGACTTATTAAATGAGTGTGCCACCTGGGCAAGAAGTCACTTCAGAAATCGCTGGGTCTCTTGGGTACATCTGCACATTTGATATATGTCCTCTCAGATGTCTCCCATGATCAATGCCTCTCCTTCTCTCCAGTGTCGCATGTCCTCGCCTTAGTGACACACTGTGTAAACGGGTTACTGTGTTGTCTGGGATGCACAGAAAATGCAGTAAAGTTAGTGATTATTTCCTCTTTGTCTATACTTTGAACCCATGCTTTTCTCTCTCCTTATTCTCTTTATTCCCTGTCATTGGCCTTTCTTTTTAGCCATAACCTATATCTACAGTTTCCTTTCCTTTATTCCCTTAAACATTTGTCAGTTTTTAAAAAGGTAACCTTTCTCTTCGCTGCGTCGTTTTATAGTCTTCATTTAAAAATAAATGGAAATGACTTCAGCTGTGTTACTAGTAACCTTACATTTTCTATAGTTCCTTTCTCATTTCTAAGTTTGTAATCTGCATTGACTGCCTATTCAGTCCCATTCTCCTGTGAAAACAATGCTTTTTAATCTTTATTACTTGGTTTCTAATCCACATCACAATTGAAATTTCTTTTTTAGATATTATTAGCAACTTTTCTCCGAAAACATGTGTTTTATACCTTTACTAGAGGCCTGGTGCACAAAATTCGTGCATGGGTGCAGTCCCTAGGCCTGGCCGGCGATGGAAGCGTGAGTGTCTGGCATGGAAGGGCAGGTCCTAGCTGACCAGTGGGCCCTGGGAAACACCTGGGCCCCCACTCGCACCCGCCTTGGCCTGGCACCTCCCACTCACTTGCTCCACCATCCCACTGCGGTCCCGCTCTCGTCGGGGCCTATTGGGGCCAGCAGCACTCCACTGCCAATGCCTGCCATGTTCCATGCTGCCCCCTGGTGGTCAGCGCATGTCAGAACGAGCGGTTGAACTCCCGGTCTCCTGGTTGAACAACTGCCCGAGGGGACAATTTTCATATTAGGCTTTTATTATATAGGCTATTTCTCTGCTCAGTGTGAAAGTGTTGTTCATACACTTCTTTGCATACTTTTTAAAAATTGTGTGAAATAGGCAAGTAATTTTTGATCTCTAGTTTAAACCTATTTATATATATAATATCCTAAGCGACCATTACAGCTATGAGGCGCACTGACCACCAGGGGGCAGATGCTCAATGCAGGAGCTGCCCCCTGGTGGTCAGTGCGCTCTGACAGCGGGAGCGCTGCTCAGCCAGAAGCTGGGCTCACGGCTGGTGAGCCAGCGGTGGCAGGAGCCTCTCCCACCTCCGCGGCAGTGCTAAGGAGCAGCAAGCTGAGCAGTAAGGAGCCTGCTGCTAAGGAGCAGTGAGCTGAGCGGTAAGGAGCGAGCAGGAGGGTGGTAAGGAGCGAGGGGTCGGTCCCGGACTGCGAGGACTGCAAGGAGAAAAAAAATTAATACCTGGGTGCATTAGAGGGAAACTACAAAAAAACCCCAAAACAAACAAAGGCAGAGAACATCTTAAAAGTAGTCAGAAGAAAACCAGCAGGCAACATCCCCCGAGGAGTCCCGGACTGAGAGAGGGATGTCCGACTGAGGGCTTAGGTGGACATCCCCTGAGGGGTCCTGGACTGCAAGAGGGCACAGGTTGGGCTGAGGGATCCCCTCCCCCCTAGTACACGATTTTCGTGTACCAGGCCTATAGTGGATATATAACGCAATAAAATAAATGAGTGAAAGAACATTTTGATATGAAAGAATGATTTGATGAACATCGTTGCTGATTTTCATAAGCTTTTTAAAGTATGGGATTCTAGAAGTATCACTGGGTCAAAGGATACAAACATTTTTATGGCTCTTGATACATACTGCACAAACTTGGATATTATTTTATGTTTTTAATACTAACTTATTAGGTATAAAATGATCCCTTAATGGCTTTAATTGCAAATTTGTGTGGATTTGATCACTCTTGCTATTTGTATTAGTATTTATTTTTACGTAAATAACCTCTCTGTTCAACAGATGGTTTGGAAGCACTAGGCTCTGTTCCTAGCACTGCAGATACAGCAATAACGTAAATAAGCAGTTTCCCCATGGAGCTTATAGTCTAGTGAAAGGGACAATAAATTACTAAAGAAAGGAGACAGGGAGGGAGAAGGGAGGGAGAAGGGACAGAAGTGGAAGGAAGGAGGGAGGGAATGAGTATCACAATGTCATAGTGCTGTGTGGAGAAATAGTGGCATCGGGAACTAGAAGAGTTAACCGCGGACTTTTACAGGGGCAGTCAGGGAGGGCCTTTCCTCTGAGGTGACTGTTGAGTAGCTACTAACCATGATGGGCTGCACGGGGGACACTCTGGGCACAGGGGACAGGAGGTGCTGGCATGTTTGAAGGGAAGATTGCAAGGAGATGTGAAGATTTTCTTAAACTTTATCTTTAGTTCTTTGAAAAAATTTGTTTCTACTATCATTTTTGTTTTTAAAATTTCTGTGAGCCTTCTCATTCTCTGCATGTTCCTTCCTTTTTAATTGCTATTTTAATGCATGCCTTAACTTCTCTTGTCTGTATGAGGATATTTAAATTATTATTATTTTTTTGTATGCATGTGTATCATTTCCCCCCTGTTCCCTAGATTATTCCAGTGGGTCTTTGTCATTACCCCACTGTCATTCTGGTGGGCTTTCTGGAGGCAGCAGAAGCAAACACATGTATTCTTGATACTTTGTTGTCTTCTCTAATTTCTTTATCTATCTTCAGACTTCTCCACCGGACTGGATCCTAAAAATTCCTCACTTGTTACCGGTGTTGTAGGTTTAAAAAAAAAAGATTCTTCACTTGTTTATAACTGCATTTCACACTGTTTTCGTCTCTTTGAACGTCTGTCTAGCCACTAGTATGTAGGTTCACTGAATTGTCATGATTGAGCTTAGTTTTCTTTATATTCTTTGCCTAGCACAATGCCTGCCAGAGAGGTATTTAATATATGTTTGTTGAGTTGAATATTGACTGACATCAAGTAGAATTTTTAGAAATCAGGTTAAAGACAGATTTGGAGAGTTATATGTGTGACATTCATATCAATTTGTCTTATTAGGAAGAATGAACGATAAAGGTAAAGCAGCAAGGATGAAACCCTAAAGCAGCGGTTCTCAACCTGTGGGTCGAACGACCCTTTCACAGGGGTTGCCTAACACCATCGGAAAACACATATATAATTACATATTGTTTTTGTGATTAATCACTATGTTTTAATTATGTTCAATTTGTAACAATGAAAATACATCCTGCATATCAGATATTTACATTATGATTCATAACAGTAGCAAGATTACAGTTATGAAGTAGCAACAAAAATAATTTTATGGTTGGGGGTCACCACAACATGAGGACCTGTATTAAAGGGTCGTGGCATTAGGAAGGTTGAGAACCACTGCCCTAAAGAACAATAATATTTTCTGAACCGGTTTGGCTCAGTGGATAGAGCGTCGGCCTGCAGACTGAAGGGTTCCAGGTTCTATTCCGGTCAAGGGCATGTACCTTGGTTGTGAGCACATCCCCAGTGGGGGGCGTGCAGGAGGCAGCTGACCGATCTCTCTCATCAATGTTTCTGGCTCTCTGTCCCTCTCCCTTCTCTGTAAAAAATCAATAAAATATTAAAAAAAACAAAACAAAAAACAATAATGTTTGACTGGGAGCCAAAGATACTCTAGCAAAGGAGACAAAGAGTGGTCAAAGAAGGAGGAGAGAATTTAGGGAGAGCTAAAGGAAGAGAGAAAAGTAGAAGGTGAGTGCAATAGTGCCAAGAAGGTAAAAGTGGTCTGTGATCCAGCGGAGAGTGTTTCTGGTGTGAGGGAAACGCATTGTGGTTTGGAATGTAAACAATTAAAGACTTAAGTATAGACTGTCATTTCAACAAGGTTAACTTTGAGGAAAAAGAAGAAAGGACAAGAACTGAAAGAATTCAGAGGTAGAGTGCCTCCGATTTGGTTTTTACCAAGTAAGAGACTTGAATGAATTTACAAGAGCAGAGATATCTGTTAGAAAGGAGAAATTAAAAGTGGAGGGAGAGCATGGAGCCTAGGAAACATGATGATGTGAAAACTCCAGGTCTTTGCAGGTTTTCTTCAGTGTTGATGCCAAATTAAACTACCATTTAGTCTTATTGTCCTGACCAAAATCAAGACAAAAAAGCATTGCTTGAGTGCTGTGCTTGGCTCTTCCCTGGCTATCATCTGATGTGCTCATCCTAACAATCCCACAGGGTAGATATCATTAGCCCCTTTCATAGTGGAAGAATAAACTCAGAGAGGTGAAATGACATGCTAGAATTTAAACACAGGTTTTTTGTTTTGTTTGTTTTTGTCTTAGAGTTTAATGCTAATTCTAAAAAAAATAAAATAAAATAAAATAAAATTCATTATTTTCTTGCCTTGCCTTGCTGTGAGTTTTTGTTTCCTAGTATATTTAGTGAAAATAGAACTTCTATATCCTGGCCTAATATTCTTTTTAAAAATATATATTTTTATTTATTTTAGAGAAAGGAAGGGCGAGGGAGAGAGAGATAGGAACATCAATGATGAGAGTTAATAATTAATTGGCTGCCTTCTGCATGACCCCACTGGTGCATTATCAGGGCTGGGGAGGGACCCTGGGAAGGCTCCAGGGCATGTCTGGCCCGTCTTTCCCAGTCCCTATTGGCTGGACCCCAGCAGCAAGCTAACCTACCAGTCAGAGCGTCTGTTCCCTGGTGGTCAGTGTGCGTCATAGCGACTGGTCAAATGGTTGAACCAATTGTTGGACACTTAGCATATTAGGCTTTTATTATATAGGACTAGAAGCTCAGTGTACGAAATTCGTGTACTGGTAGGGTCCCTAGTGGCTGCTGGCTGCCAACTGGGTACTCCCTCACTTCCCCTGGCCGCTTGCTGCCGCTGGCTGGGGCCTCTCTCCCTTCCCCCAGTTGGCTCTGCCCCTGCCCCCTGGTCAAACTCCCGGAAGAACTCTGATTGAGGGGACAATTTGCATACTATGCTTTTATTATATAGCATTTCCATTTTATGGCTTTTATTTTATCCATAAGGCATACCACTTAAATACTAAGTATTATACTTGTTTATTATGTTGACTGCCCTTCCTCTCACTAAAATATAAGTTCCCTAAGGGCAGAAATGTATTTTATTCATTGCTATAGCCTTAGCACTTGGAACAGTGCCTGGCTCAATGTACATTTATTGAATGAATGATTGGTCATATTCAGAAGAGCAGTTTGGCTGCTGCATGGAGACTGCATTATAGGGTAGCAAGAGTGTAAGCCAGAAGTTCAGTCATGTGAGTATTGAAATTGTCTGGTTGTGTGGGAGGAGTAGCTGAAATATTACACAGGGGATGGAAAAATATAAAAAGGGAAAATAAACAAACTTGTCCTAGGAAGAGTGGGCAATACTGCCCAAGCCCCATACCCACTCCACTACTTTGCAGGCTCTCAGCCTCTACTATGGCCATCCCAGCCATAAATACTGAAAGACCTATGCTTTCCCAGACCCCAACAGTCCTGAGGACTCCTGTTCATGACCTGACAAGTACCAAAAGAATATAAAACTCCCATTCTTTAACTAGGCATTTTTAATACAAGAAGGGAGTATGGGCCACTTGAAAGTCCTGTTTAGGAAAAAGGAAAGGAAGAAAGAGGTATCTATTGTGTAACATAAAATAATGGTAATATTAATTGTTAACAATCATTAAACCTTATCATGGCCAAGCATAGTGCTATGTGCAAAACGGAGTTTTTATTTAATAAAATAGCAAAATAGCAAGAAATGCTTCCCAGTCTTGGAAGAGTTAGTTTTTTTACCCTTAGTACTCAAGTTCCAAGCCCACAATATTTCACTGATTCTTCGTAAAGCCACCCTAACAGTTTTGTTTTCCAGATAGTCATGTAATCAGAAAAATAAAGTTTCCTCCCTTCTCAGTTGTCTAATTTTATTTGTCATACTTTTGCAACAATATTAAATAGCAGTAATGATAAACACCCTTTTCTTGATTCTGTTATTAATGTGAATTTTTACAGTGTTTTATTTTTATGCTTGACAGTGCTACGATTTTTGGTGTTGAATCAGGATTGGATGTTGGATATTATCAAATACTTTTTTGAAGCATCTATCTGTTGATCATGTGTCCTTTTTCTATGACCTAGTATGATATTAATAGATTCCTAGGAGTGAACGTTCTGGAATTCCTGGGTAAATCCTTTGTGTAATTGCATATTTCATGTAATATTTCAGGAATGCTTTAGAAGTGCTGTGATTACTGAGTCTGTCATATTGAAGAATGTGTTTTGTTTTTCTTTAATAGAGTACTGGCCAAGTTGAATTCTTGAGTCACATCTGTCAGTATTTTAAAAATTTGTAGGTAATCAATTTTTTTTTAGGGAGCAAGTCTTCAGAATAAATAAATAAATAAATAAATAAATAAATAAATAAATAAAAGTACTTATTTATTTAATTGGTTTTTAGAGAGAGAAACATTGATGGGAGAGAGACATCGATCAGCTGCTTCCCGCAACCCAGGCATGTACCCTGACCAGGAATCGAACTGGCAACTCTTTGGTCAAGGGACAATGCCCAACCAACTGAGCCCCAATGGCCAGGCCAGGAAAACTTTTAAATGAAGTGTCTAAATTCCATAGAGATAAAATGAATCTTACTGTTAAGTTTTCTGCAATACATAATGATTTTTAAACTTTCATTAGTATTTTCTAAAATAGTATTTTGTTCTGATTTTTTGAAATTTATATATACAGAAGAATGTGTAAAATATATATTATTTAACAAAACTGACATACTCTTCTAATATAAATACTATAACTATTAACTAACATTCTTACACCAACACTGTGAGATAGGGACCATTTAACAGGTGAGAAAAAGAATATAGACATGTTAAGTAACCTGCTCAAGGTCACACAGCTAACTGTAGTGGAACTCAAATTTGAGCCAGGTAGTATGGCTCCAGAGTTGTTGTCTTAGCCATTATGCCATGCTACATCTTTTTATAGTTAATAATGGTAAAGATTAATGAATAATAAAGCAAACACCTAGGCACCAGAACCTAGAGTAAGAAACAGAAAATTACTGGTATCCTTGCCATGATTTGTGTGCTCCTCATTCACACACTCTTAACCTCTCTCTGGGACATAATGACTGTTCTCACTTTTGTGATAATTCTCTTCCCTTTTCTTTAAGTATTGCCATCCATAAATGAACCTATAAACAGCATATTTAGTTTTAATCTGTTTTTAAACTTTAAGTGGACTCTTGCTATATATATTTTTCTGTGACTTTAAATCATTCATTCATATTGATATGTATAGCTATAGTTTATTAATTTTAACTAGTCTTAATTCAGGCTGCTATAACAGGGTACACTATACAGGTAGCTTAAAAGTCAAATAACTATTTCTCACTGTTCCAGAGGCTGTAAGTCTGAGATCAGAATGCCAGTGTGGTTGGGTTGTTGGTAAGGGCCCTCATCCTGGTTTAGAGACAACTCCTTCCTGCTAGAGAGTGGAAAGACAGGAAACAAGCTCTTTCATCTCTCCTTATAAGGGCACTACTCCCATCACCCCTCTGCCCTCATGACCTTTGACCTCCCCCAAATCCCACCTAATATAATACCATTGGGAATTTAGCTTCAACATAGGAATTTTGGGGAGACACAAACATTCACTGTTGTCAATTATTCCATTGTATATATATTTGACAATTTAGGTATTTATCCTATTATTGATACTTGTGTTGCTTCCATTTTTTTTTTTGCTGTTGTGCACTGCTACTTTTAAAATTATGAATGGTATACCTTTGTAAATTAGATTTACCTATGTGTGTGTGCCTGATAGTGGACTTGCTAAACTATTCATTCAGATTTCCACTTATGTGCCTGTTCAAGTCTTGCTGGTTTTTCTAGTAGGTTTAGTGTTCCATAGATATTGTTTTCCAAGTCTAGGTTCTAGTTCTTTGTGGGTTATTGTTATAGATATCTTTCCCCAGTATGCAACTTTTAAAAAAAACTTTATGATGTCTTTGGATGGCTGGAAGCATGTAATTATTCTTCCAATATTTGTTTTCCCTTTTGATTTTTATGCTTTTTCCTTCTCATTGTTTACATTATTTTAAAACTTTATTTCTTAATGCTCTATGTAGTTTCCAAACTTGGTATTTTCTGTGTATCATTATCTTTGAATGGAGGTAGTTCTATCTGGACTTTGTCTAACAGGATGAAACCCCCTTTTGCTCTTTATGTTTGCCTGGGTGGCATTTTAAATGTTCTCAAAGAATTTTAGTTGGATAGCTGGATATGATAGTGAGGTGGGGCAAGTGGCCATCTCTAATTCATGTGTTGCCTGTTATTTTCATACTTGATTGGATAGGTCCTTTCTGTGGTTACTTGATTGTGTGTTTTGGAGGTGGATTCCACTAGGATGTCCACTTTTTATCTTTTATGTAAGCAGGTCAGGTTGTAAGGAGGAGGTCCAGTTAATGCATAACCCTTGCTTCACAGTAAAGCCTCCTGCTCACATGCCAAAATTTGTTGCTTCAGTGTTTATCTCTGCTCTGTTGAATCTGATCAAGCTAACAGATTCGCAGATTATAGTTTCCTGTCCTCTGCCTCTCATTGCCACTAGGCCATTTTGTCTGGAATAAGAAATGGGATCAGAAAATAGAGTCTGAGTGGTCCTTCTTTCAGCTCCTTCTGAAGCAGTTCAACAGATTCTTCCTTGTCTGCCCCCACCACCAGTTCTCATCTTTAAGAAATGGGTATTTAGGAAAGTGTAGGGCCCTTTAGGACTCTCTTAACCTTTGTGAGAAAATTACAGCCTGCTTGAAATTTGTGTGTGGGGAGGGGAAGCTTTTAGATTGTGTTATCCTCCCTTAAGAGTTTGAATTTCAAATATGTTCCAGACAAATATGTTCCCAAAGCGTAGGTTATATACATTATCCTTATCAGATTATTTTTATCCTCATTTTATAACTGTGAAAACTTAGACCTAGAGAAACAAGTAGCTAGTTAAGATGGTAAGTGTTGAACCAGTTGTCTGATTCAGGGTTGACAGTCTTCATTGTGTCACTCTGTGATCTTTTTGAAGATTTAGTATTAGAATTATAGGTAGGAAGAAATGGCTGGTAAGAACAGTTGGTACAACATGGCAGGGCTTTCTGATCTTCCTCTTGCAATCCCCGGTCTACTGTATATTTTTCTTTAGTTCCATCTTCATTATCTAGCCTTGTCTAGTGGTCAGTGACTTCAATGTCTATTCCTTCTGCATAGGCTCACTCTTTTCTCTGCTTACCCTGTTTCTAGTTCTCTTATTTGTGGACTGGTTCTCTGTTTTTTCCTTTCTTTTCAATTCTCTTCCTAATTGTAGGGACATCTTTAAAAGCTCTCCAAATGTGCCATGTATTCTCAATTTTATTCTCATTCCCACTTTATACAGTTTTCAGTCTCCCAACATAGAAACCAATGTGCATTTGAATTTTTTATTTTTTTACAGACTGGGAGGCAAGACTTGAATCCAAAGAGTCAACTCCAGAGCCCATCATTACTGAAGATTTATCCTATTGGGTAATAATGGAAAAGGAAGGTCTCTGGCATTCTTCTTTAAGGGAAACCTGGGCACCTGATAATTGATTAGAGGGCCAACAGAAAAACCAGGATAGACATCTGGGTCAAGTGGCAGTTACCCATAAGGGAAATCACACGGAGAGGAGGGTATGTAGAGGTAATGAATTTGAAAGATGTTCCAATCAGGGTTCAATCATTGATATACAACAAAGTACTCCTATGGGGAAAAGGCCCTGTTATCAGAATTCACATGGAAAAGATAAACAAAATTCTGAATTAATTAAGATTCAAAGAATGTTTGTAGGGAAGAAAATGTATGAATGTAATGAATGCAGGAAAGCCTTCAGCCAGAGCTCATCCCTTCTTAAGCACCAGAGGATTCATACTGGGGAGAAGCCCTATAAGTGCAATGTATGTGGGAAGCACTTCACTGAACGTTCCTCTCTTACTGTACATCAAAGAATTCATACTGGAGAGAAACCCTACAAATGTAATGAATGTGGCAAAACCTTCAGTCAAAGCATGAACCTTACTGTTCATCAAAGAACTCATACTGGAGAAAAACCCTATCAGTGTAAAGAGTGTGGAAAAGCTTTCCGAAAGAATTCATCCCTTATTCAACATGAAAGGATTCATACTGGTGAGAAACCCTACAAATGTAATGAATGTGGGAAAGCTTTTACCCAAAGTATGAATCTCACAGTGCATCAAAGAACTCATACAGGAGAAAAACCCTATGAATGTAATGAATGTGGGAAGTCTTTCAGTCAAAGTATGCACCTTATTGTACATCAGAGAAGTCATACAGGAGAGAAACCCTATGAGTGTAGTGAATGTGGAAAAGCCTTCAGTAAGAGCTCAACTCTTACCCTGCATCAACGAAATCACACTGGAGAAAAACCCTACAAATGTAACAAATGTGGGAAATCCTTTAGCCAAAGTACATACCTTATAGAACATCAGAGACTTCATTCTGGAGTAAAACCTTTTGAATGTAATCAGTGTGGAAAAGCTTTCAGTAAGAATTCATCTCTTACTCAGCATCGGAGGATTCATACTGGGGAGAAGCCTTATGAGTGTATCATTTGTGGAAAGCATTTTACTGGACGATCATCGCTTACTGTACATCGGGTTATTCACACTGGAGAGAAACCTTATGAATGCAATGAATGTGGAAAGGCCTTCAGCCAGAGTGCATACCTTATTGAGCATCAAAGAATTCATACTGGTGAGAAACCCTATGAATGTGATCAGTGTGGTAAAGCCTTCATTAAGAATTCATCCCTTGTAGTGCATCAGAGAACTCATACAGGAGAGAAACCCTATCGGTGTAGTGAATGTGGGAAAGCCTTTAGTCGGAGTACAAACCTTACACGACATCAGAGAACTCATACATGAGGAAAGTTTTCACTGGGCTCGTTATGATGAACTCTTCAGTGATAATTAGATATATCATGTCATGTAGAAACCAATAAATGTAATGATTTTAGAAATCTTTTAGTTGAAGTATATTATACCATATCCGATGATACAGACCACTGGAGAGGAACCATATAAAAGTGGAAAATCTTGATTGAATTAGAAAGTAAAACTTTGCATCTGAAGGCTTAAGTATCTGATATTTTAAACAATGAGGATTCATGCTGAAGATAAGTTCTGTCATGTCATACTGCAGATTTTCCTTTGGATGTCAGAGATTTCACATCAGAGAGAATATGTGAGAGTGCTTAACTGGACAGCCCAAAGACCTGGTATGTACTCTGATCTGTCACTAACTTGGACAAGTCACCAACTTTCACCAGGTCACAGTGCCCTTATTTGATAAATGAGGGATTTTGGATTTAGAAGATCTCCAGGATCCCTTTTAGCTCTATAAAGCAACAAATCTGTAAACATAATGAATGTTGGGACATCCTTAATCTTTTACCACGTTATATATGTTATTATATGCTACTATTTTGCAGTCTGGTTTCCCTGGATGTTGTGAGTTAAAATTCTCTATCTCTACCAAATCCTATTATTCTCCCATGCCTACCCCTTTCTCCTTGCATTATTTTCTCTTCTAAACATAGGCTGGTTGCAAACAGGTGATGGAATAATAGTACAAATCTTAATGCAATGGTATGCTGTTTTGAGTCCTCAATTAACAGTCATTAAATTGTTGTTAAATAAGCTAATTACTTAGAAAATAATATAACTTACAGTCTTTTCCTAGGACTCAAATACATATCTTTGTATCATACTGACAATCGAGTGAAAAGGAAGCTAGGCTGAACACTAATAGAAATAAAAATCTCACATTAACAAAATCTTTGTAATTCAAACATATGCAAAACAATCATGGAGATTTTATAGACCTATAGTAAAGAATTTTATTTCACACACATTTAATACATGCTATAAACATGTGGTAGGCATGATTAGAAAATCAAAATAAATATGATACATTCTTGTTTTCCAAGGTTTAAACTGAGAAAGTGACAGTGAGATGGGAGAGGAAGAATTCAGGCAAAAATGAGACAATCTAGATCAGTGGTTCTCAATCTTGGCTGCACATTAGAATCACCTGGGAATCTTTTTAAAATCCTGATTTCTGGGCCTCATCCTCCAGAAATTCTGTTTCTTTGTTATGGGGTGGGGTCACAACATTAGTAACAAAGAAACAGAATTTCCGAGGGTGAGGCCCAGAAATCAGGATTTTAAAAAGATTCCCAGGTGATTCTAATGTGCAGCCAAGGTTGAGAACCACTGATCTAGATAATGTGGTAACTGATTCAATGTGAGTGCTTGAATTTATTTGGATGTATAGGGATGCCATAACTAAAAATATAAAGTTGACCAATTTGTGGGGCAATGATGAGTTCAGTCTGGGGCATTTTGATGAGTATGTGGATATCCAAGTGAAGATTCATAATAGACTATACACTAAGTAGTAGGGCATTGATTCGAGGGTTCTCTGGGAATATAATAGTTCCCCAAGCCCCAATTCATGGTTTTGCTTTTCAGTTTGTTACCCACAGTCAGCCTTGGATCCAAAAATATTAAATGGAAAATTCCAAAAGAACCCCCACAATTCATGTTTTAAATTGCGCACCATTCTGAGTAGCATGCTGAATTCCCATGCTACCTCACTTCTTTGTGATCTCATCACATAGCCACTGTATCATGTCATGTCATCACAAGAAGGGTGAGTACAGTACAATGAGATATTTTGAGAGACCACATTCATGTAACTTATTACAGTATCTTGTTAAAATTGTTCTCAATAGTTACTGTTAATCTTTTACTGTACCTAATTTGTAAATTAAACTTTATCTTAAGTATGTATTTATGGGAAAAAACATAGCGTGTGTGTGTGTGTGTGTGTGTGTGTATATATATATTTCAGTACAACTTATTGTTTTAGGCATCCACTGGAGGTCTTGGAACATACCTTGGAAACAACAGTTAAGAGAAACACAAAAAACAGAAAAATAAGGAGAACATTTTAGAACAGAAGTAAAAGGAGAACTTTAAGGGATAGAAATCCTATCTAATAAAGAGGGAATATGCTAATTTACCCTCATGCCATTGCAAAGATGGTGGCGCCCACAGCGAATAAGGAGGGAATATGCTAATTGACTGCCCTGCCCTCAAAGATGACATTGCTCACAGCCAATAAGGAGGGAATATGCTAATTGACTGCTCTGCCCTCAAAGATGGTGGCACCCACAGCCAATAAGGAGGTAATATGCTAATTGACTGTCCCACCCTCAAAGATAATGCTGCCCACAGCCAATAAGGAGGGCATATGCTAATTGCCACACCCTCAAAGATGGCGATGCCTACAGCGAATAATGAGAGAATATGCTAATTGAATGCCACACCCTCAAAGATGGTGGCACCCACAGCCACAAAATGGAGGTGCCCAGTCCCCTTAGCCCCACTGGGGTGCCTGCCTCCAGAGTCCCCCAGTCCCCTCAGCCCCCAAGGGCAGCCTGAGGTGCAGGCAAGCCTCGGATGGCGACTACCCAGCCGCCCAGGACTGGCCTGAGGCACAGGCAAGCCTTGGATGGTGGCTGCCAAGCCGCCCAGGGCCACCCGAGGCTCAGGTAACCAGGGCCAGCTGAGGCTTGTGCTGCTGGCAGTGGCAGCAGCAGAGGTGTGATGGGGGCGTCGCCTTCCCCTGATCTCCAGGTCACCTCCCACCCCTGAGGGCTCCTGGACTGTGAGAAGGAGCAGGCCAGGCTGAGGGACTCCCCCTCCAGTGCATGAGTTTTCATGCACTGGGCCTCTAGTAGTTAATATTTTCAAATGCTACAGAGGGTTAAAGTAAGATAAAAATATAAATATTGCCCTTAGTTTGGTTGATAATCTATGTAAATTTTAGTAGGTTAAAGAGTGAGTCAAAGGTTGAAAAGGACTTAGTAGCTTGACTAGAAAAGGAGTTTAGAAAGATAACTAGAGGGAGATTGGGGTTGAAAGAACCTCTATCAGAAGAGCTTTTGGCTACGTCAATAGAAAGCCCAGTTAACAATGGCTTACGAGCAAGTAAGGATTTATTTCCTCATATAATAAATCTGGAGGTGGGTGGGATTGTTCAGAGAAAAAATAATTCAATGCCTTGAGTTTCATGGCTTTTCCATCATGGGCACATGGCTGCCACAGCTTCAGGTAAAATATCTGCATTCAATGCAAGAAGAAATGGAGTGTGTAGCACTAGCAACGTCATTACCTTTTATCAGAAAAGGTTTTCCCAGACATCCTTCAGCAGACTACTGCTTACATCTCCTTGACCGCAGCTGTGTTACATGGAGACTAGTAGCAAAGGAGACTGAGAAAATAATCATTTGCTCTTGGAGCCTCTATAGTAGGTAGACAAAGAAAAGGTGGTTTGATAAAGGTGTTGACTTAGCCCACAATCTGCTGAAAATGTGTTTGCATGACTTAAGGTAGAAGAATTGAGCATGTTTATCTCCTAAAAGAGGTGTGGAGTCCAGCCGGTGTGGCTCAGTGGTTGAGCATCGACGTATGAACTAGAAGGTCAGGGTTTAATTCCCAATCATGGCACATGCCTGAGTTGCAGGCTCAATCCCCAGTAGGGGGTGTGCAGGAGGCAGCTGATCAATGATTCTCCGTCATCATTGATGTCTTTATCTTTCTCTTCCTCTCCCTTCTCTGAAATCAATTTCATATTTTTTTTTATTGCTTAAAGTATTACAAAGGGTATTACATATGTGTCCTTTTTTTAATTTCATATTTTTTAAAATAATAAAAGAGGTGTGGAGACTCTAAAGGTGCATAAAGGAGGGGGTGTGCATCTCAAAGTGGGAAAATAAGATTTGGAGCACAGGTAAAGAATGCAGGAATCTTTTTCACTGGGAAGAAGGACACTTTCCACTGGAAGAGGTGGTAATCAGTGATGGGTGCAGATGTTTGTGGGTGACAATGGAAGAGGTTCCCTGTGGATTCTCAGTGTTTGGACTTTGGGCAGTTTTAATTCATGGAGTTAGAACATCAAAGACAAAGGAGGAATGGAACACTAAACTGTATCTTCAGAAACAGATTTTAAATTTTTCTCCATTTCACCCAGTTTCCTCCTTTCCCTTCACCTATTTTTCTTATACCTCATTCCATCTCAAGAATACAAGTAGATGGGAGGAAAGGCAGTAAAGAAATGGGTAGAAAATAGAAGAAAGTGATTAAGACAGCAGCACATTAAAGGCTCAAAAGGAAGGCACAGGATAAGGGGAAGAAGAATGAAGTTATTGAAGCCTAAGATGGATGAAGTAACTCAAAATCAATAAAATATTAACCCATGGAGGGAGCACCAGGATACATGACCCAGATAAATGGAGGTTTCACTACTTTTTCAGGAGTTTTGGAAGTCTTAGACCCTGTATGTGAGTTCTCAGCCATCTTGGGCAACAAGTAATGAGGACTTTGTACCTTTCCTCTATCAACAGGTGCAGGACTCCTGGTTCCATGCATTAGACATGACACCTTGGGCAAGGCACTTAACCTTGCTGCCTCCCTTTTCTCATTTGTTAATAGTGCAAACCTCACAGCTTTACTAGTAGGTTGCATTAGGTAACTAACATAAAGTGCTTATAAAAATGTCCAGCGTGTAGTTAGTACCCAACAAATGTTATCACCCTCATGTACCTGAAAACAATATCCAAACTCCATAGCATGGCGTCCAGAAACCTTAATTATCTTAGAATGACTATGCTCTCAAAACATACCTTGTAAAAGGTTTATAAAACTGGGAGTCAGTTCCGCCCCAGCCTGCTGTAATAGCTTACTAACTGGTTTCCCTGTATTCCTTCTAGCCCCACCATAGCGTGTTCTCCACACAACTGACCAGTGATTCTGTCCAAGTATGCTCAGCCATGTCACTATTTTGCTCAAACACCTGTAATGGTTTCCCATCACAAACAGATTAAGTCCTGCAATGGTCTTCAAGGGTTCTAGTTATCCTTTGAACTCATCTCCCCCTCTCCCTGGTTCACCAGGCTCTCTCCAGTCATACTGGACTTCTAAGCCTCAAACTCACCAGGTACTCTTCTGTGGACAGCATGCCTGTTCCCTCCGACATAGAAGGTTTCCCCCCAGAGAGTCACATGATTTCCTCCCCCACTGTATTCCAGTGTCTGCTCAATATTTTCTGAGAACTTCCTAAAACGCTACTTAAAATAATCCCGAACCTCTGTCACACTCTGAAATTTAACCCAGCTTTACTGTCAGCAGTATCTGATATTTTGTTTATTGACTTCCTCCCCGAATAGAATTACAACTGAATAAGTGCAGGGTTTTCAGCCCCTAGGACAGCCGTGGGCAAACTACGGCCCGTGGGCCGGATCCGGCCCGTTTGAAATGAATAAAACTAAAAAAAAAAAAAAAAAAAAAAAAAAAAAAA